CCTACTGGTACCTGTTGATTTGGTACTCATGCTACACTCTACATCTATTTTAGTGATGCAGGTTTGAGCACCAGCTATGAGAGATGAGGTCGAGCTTGCAACGGTCTATTCTTGAGACAAGGGTGAGCACATGGCGTTTTGGGATTTTCTGTCTCCATTATGTATTTACATTTTGACTTGCCTTTTGCTTTTTGAGGAAGTCTTGTTTTTGCGGTCCAGTTTTGGGACTTGTACTCTTTCAGTAGTTCAGTACATGTGACTTCCAGGTTCTGGGAGGTATCTTTTGTATATCTAGTTTTTAGTTCGCTTCCGCCTTCCTCTTATGTGCTCTGTTTATTTATGCTTCACTTAGTTGAGGATAGTTCCCCTGCCCCCCCCCCCCCTCCCAAGTCCCATTACTCTCAAGTTCCGGGACATGGTTTGGCTTGCCTACTTGCGGGTTGGTAGGCGTCATCATGCCTCGAGAAATCGGATCGTGACATTATTTGAGCTCAAATTAGCCATTTGTGACTTTATTGAAAAGTTGCTAACTATTAACCAAAGTTCAAAAGTTACAATTGGTTGCTTAAAAAGAATTAATTTGAAACATCAAAATATGCGCTTCATTTGGTGTTTTTTGGTTATATTATTAAAGATTTATTTATAATTGTTCCATTATATTACTCATTACCTTCTCCTTACACATATGTTTCCATAGCATTTTAGTCATTCCAAACATATCTATAAAATTTCACATGGAACACACGTGCTTTGCACGTGTCCAGAAACTAGTATATATCATATATTATTATAAGTAGGAACCTCCTAACCCAAAGTTGATTTACTGTTTTAATCCTACAGTATTATTTAAATATTAATTTATTAAAAATATTAGTTAAATAATAATTTATTATAAAGTAAATTTGATGTCAGCCCTAATTTAATTCTTCAGAAACGTATACCTCCTGTTCAACGCCCTCGCGATCGTTGTAACAGTTGTGTAGTTGTTGCTCAACCTTCCCTTCTGCAACGCTCAAGTTCCATTACTTAAATTATCCCTTCTTCCAAAACCTTTTCAGATACTCCACTCATCTGTATAAATGTCTCCAACAACATGTTATTGTCCATTAATTTGTTTCACTTTTCTGTGCCTGAATGAAATACATCATTATCAGGTAAATATTTTTCTTGCTCTATTTTTGTTGCATAATAGTTACGGTCAATTGTCAATAGAACTGTGATCATGAACGAAGGAGAGGACAATCAAAGAGTCCAGTGGACATTTTGATCGTAAGGATGATAACCCTTAGACTGGTCCAGTTCCATGTATTGTTTTCCATCACCATGTTGAGCCATCCCAAGCTCCCACATCATCAATAGTTTCTTGGTAGTGCTCAAGTAGAATGTTTTATCCGGGATGATATGAACGACCTGTGATGGAAAACATATATTTGAGTTTATGTGGTCTTCAGTTCCTTTTTATCTTCTCGACTGTTTTTTTTTTTTTACTTTTAATCATTCACTTCTGTTAAATGTTATTTTGTGGTTTTTAAACACTGCAGGTGTTGTACTTTGTTGTAGGGGACAATAGGCGAGGGCACTTTCTTAAGGTTAATCTACTTTCCTGACCTTGACACTCTGCTCTTGCTCTGTTTTACTGCTAATTGAAAATATATATACAGCCTTAGTTTCCTTGCACATTGCGATCAGTTTTACTTGATAGCTTTTAGATGGTCTTATATGAACTCGCATATTACGATCACATTTACATGACAACTTTTAGTTTCGCATGCCCCACAATATCAGCAGATCATTAGAAGAGTTTTACATCTAACTAACTCTCTTGGCTGAGAAGCAAAATGATAGCATTCGATTGTGGATAGACAACCTTTAGTAGTAACTGAACTAGGATGAAAAGGAAGCCAACATGACAAAAAGGAGCAGTAAACACCACATACTCCATTGTGATTGCAACCAACTTCATCCAGAATTGTTCCATTGCATTAATTCTTACATAATCTCTTCTTGCATAGTTCTTTGAGTAGATATATTTTATCAAGGACACTCATTTATGGATTCACATCCAATGTAAAAACAACATATTTATGGGCTCTGTATTGACATTTGATATATGATATTGGTCCAGGTAATGTGCACTAACAAATAAGATATCAAATAATAGGTAACCAAACTGAGTTTACTTTGTTGCATCCTGAACGTTATTAAGCTTAAGCAACCTTTCCATGAGACTGAGGAGTCATCTCTAAGAAGCTCTTGGTAGATTTATAGAACCTACTTTCCTCTTCATTCTTCCTCCTTTTGTCTTCCTTCACTGCAAGAATTTATATATTTTGTAAAGAAACTGGTAACGTCGTATTCCTCAACATTAAGGACATCCTGGCAACCTTAAAGAGAATTACAAACTAGGAGAAAATATTACAAGGAACCTAAATGATCTACTATCTGTTCAACTTCATCTATACATTCCTCATTACACCAAAATAAAAGGGATATAATACAATTCTATTTAACTTTATGAGTGGAACTAAACCTATTCGGAGAACATCTCTAATTCCTCTCTTTCCACAGTGTCCACCATATGCATGCTGGGATTACTTTCCACTATTTCTTTTGGCTCCCCTCCTAATCCAACAACTCAATAAATCAGCAATATGTTCTGACATAGACCAGTTTGTTTCTGCAGAACTTAGAAATAGTGACCGATTTGTGAAGTTAATTTGCAATGCAAAAACAAGTGGTTGTTAAAAGCTACCTAAAATATGATTCCAGTTGTCCCGTTCTACTTTGGCCTGAATGGCCTACTGTATTCAATCCTGGCTGTGACACGTCCTATCGTAGAAAGTTTTATCCAGGATGATATGACCAACCCGTGATGGAAAACATATATTGGAGTTTATGCAGTCTTCAGTTCCTTTTTATCTTCTCAACTATTTTTTTACTTTTAATCATTAACTTCTGTTAAATGTTGTTTTGTGGTTTTTAAACAATGCAGGTGTTTTACTTTGCTATAGGGGACAATATGAGAGGGAGCTTTCTTAAGGTTAATCTACTTTCCTGACCTTGACGCTTTGCTTCTGCTTTGTTTTGATGCTTATTGAAAATATATTTACACCCTTAGTTTCCTCGCACATTGCGATCCGTTTTACTTGATAGCTTTTAGACGGTCTTATATGACCGCTTTGCTTTTGCTCTGTTTTGATGCTAATCGAAAATATATTTACACCCTTAGTTTCCTCGCACATTGCGATCGCTTTTACTTGATAGCTTTTAGATGGTCTTATATGAAAGTAGGTCGACGGGCTGTTTTCTTACTGCTACCATAGTATTTTACTATTAAACTTGGCTCTTGTCTTTCTCTTCTTGTCCCTTTTTTTCCTGTATCTCTCCTCTCTCTCCCTTTCATATATCCCTGACCAATATATCTCTCCCGTTAACGGCCACAACCATGTTTCATATGGATGGTAATTGTCATCAATAGCTTCTGCCAAGTCTTCATCCATACTCTTCAACAATGTCATGTTGAAGTACTTTGCCTACATATATCCTTTTCTATGCTCAACTGAGTGCTGCTCTTCCCCCGCACCTGAGTAAAGATTGATGTAAACCATCTGCCGGGCACTGTCATACCCCCATACATTTACCAACAGTTCCAAAACCCGACAGTAACAGTGCTGCTTCTGGTGGTCACAAACAATAAAAACATAAGAACTTATCCTTCTAGCCTGTATTACTTTGAAGTTTAGTGATAGTGTACGATATTGCAGGTAACAATTTTTAAGTGTCATATACTTGAGAAACAGAAACAGCTGCATGAATACTCAATTAAACTATTGGTTGCACTTGTCAATTGTTTCTTAGAGGCTCGTCCAAAGATGTAGCATAGTGATCAATGAAGTGAGATAAAGTCAAGGGACACCAAAATTCCTAACAGAGTCAGAAAGAGCACTCAATTAAAGTATTGGTTGAACTTGCCAATTGTTTCTTAGAGGCTCGTCCAAAGATGTAGCATAGTGATTCAATGAAGTGAGATAAAGTCAAAGGGACACCAAAATTCCTAACAGAGTCATAAAGAGCAAGTCATTATATACATGGCATGTTCTCTTCGAGTCTAGAAAAATCCTAATTCAAGAAGAAAATGATCAGATTATTTTAGCACAACAATTCTATACCTTACATTAGGAAAGTTTTACACTGATTCCAGTTGTTGAAGCAATTGGAAAAAATCCTATACCTACCAATCATTTAGCTTCTTCGGAAAATTATTTGTCAGCCTGAGTTCGAGTGAAAATCAGCAACAAAGACACCTTTATTAACAGAACAATTAAACTATATAGGGAATTTATTAGCCTTCAGACATTCTTATCTCACCCATAAATCTGTCTAGAAAATTGAAACATACAAAATTCCAAAAAGATATTATTTTAACACAACAAATCTATACCTTACATTAAGAAATACATAATCTCCAAATGTCTAATTAAATAAACTACTATTAGCTATACTGTTGTTGATATATGTTGTAGTAGAAAATATAACATTTGTGTCCAGTTAAGCTGTTACAAAATAAAGCTATTGCCATAACATGTCAACAGATTGTCTGCCAAGGACTTATCCGTTTTGAAGTTGATACATTTGCAATACTTCCGTTATAATAATTTGTTACATTTTTATTGATTTACTTCTCTTTGAAATTACGTTTACTATCTCTTCATGTTCTAATACTTTTAATAGGTTTCTTGCTTTCGGCAACACCAAAATTGGCAACATTTCTCCACCTTGGATTAACTTTCTTCAATTAATATGATATTTATACTATTGTTACTTGAAGTTGCTCGCTTTTAAAATTAAAAAAAAAAAAGAATTAGTTTATGCTTGGTGAATATTATATTCTTGAGCATCTTTATTGTTAGACCAAAAGAACACTAATTATATAAAAATAAATAGCATTTACGTCACAAATATATATTGTATTAGTACATCCTAGCTACTACAACAATACAATGACAAGCCTAGAAGAGCTCGAGAACCAGTGCCTACCAATTAGCAAGTTGAAGAAATATGCAACAAAATGGGTGATTAAAGTCTTAGTCATTCGACGGAGTTTAACCCAAAACAAAATACTAGAAAACATAAGCTGTCTGCTCATATCTATCTAAAGAGTATAAAAATGTAAACGGTGAGGATATTCGTTGGCAACTGATATTAGTCGACGAAGAGGTAACCCTATTTTAATATTTAATTATATTTATTACTTAATATGTTGACTTCTTTTGCGATTCTAATGATTATGGTCCTTATCACAGGGTACAAAAATACAAACGACTCTTTTCAACAAAGATGTTCATGCATGGAACAAGTCTTTTCAACTTAATCAAAGTTACTACATTATAAATGGAAAATTAAATGGAGCTAAGCCAAACTTCTTATCTGTGCATAAGGACCTCGAACTAGCATTTATGAACAACACAGAGGTCGTTGAGGACAAAAGCCAATTTAAGACTGAGCAATTTTCGAATGGATTTATTTCATTTGATGAAGCTGAAAAAATCACTAATGGGAGTTTGTTTGGTAAATTTCATTTAAATGTTTGTTGTTTGTTCCATACATAAAGAAAATCTGTATTTTGTAACACATTGTTTTGTTTAGATGTGGTGTGTATTTTTCTCACAGTAAAAGCACTAACTGGAGAAGGACGAAGCATTAGACGCGAAGTAATCGTTACAAACGAAAGGTAGCATATACTTTCTATGCATCCTACATATAAATATTTCACGTTAATAAACATTTATCATAAAAATATTATTTGTTACATATATAGGTATGATCGAAAAGTCATGACTTTATGGGGAGATTTCGCTAAAATCGAAGGTCAAATGTTACAGAGCCTTGAAATTGACAAACCAGTGCTTGCCTTTTGTGATGTAAAATCATCCATTTACCAAGGTATAAATCTCCTCAGTTGATATATTTGAGTCAAGTTTCAAACTACATAAAAGTATCACTGAATTAATTACTCCTGCCAAAATAGGGGATTTTGTCCTTTCCACGACTCCTGTTAGTAGTTTGCTAATAAATCCACAATTTGAAAAAGCGAACAATCTCCAAGAATGGTAAGTAATACATGTTTCATCACACTTATTCAGAGGCTACCCACATGCTACGTCATTAATGTTTTTTTTTTCATTACTTAAAAATTCTAGGAATGACAACATGAAGGCACAAAATATTGACTTAAGTCTAATGCCAAGCAAACTAATGCAAACAGCCGGCCAAGTGAAAATTTCTAATATTTTAAACGGTTCACTTGCCATTGTGAAGGTACTTTCCTATACAACACCCATCCTGTACTCAAATTATATGTTTCAAATGTAATTAAGTGATTTACCTAATTTACATATAGGACATGTACTATAGGTTCAATGCTACGGTTTCTAGCATTGACAATAACACCGACCCATGGTATCATGCTTGCAAGAAATGCTAAAGTAAAGTTACTGTCGCACCCCGTTTTTTGTAAAACGAATTTTCGGTGCACAACCTAACAATTCTTTTGGGATTTTATTGATTGAAGAGTCGCTACCTAACGAATTAAGGCACGTTAGGGCACCTATCTGACCTAACTAAATCTACCTAAGGGTCAACGAACAAGAGATCGGATAAAGGTTCAAGTTACCTCGAGGGGAAGGTGTTAAGCATCCCTCGAGGTCCACAAATGTGGGTCCCGGCCGTATCTCATGCAATTTATGTGGGTGTTACAAGTAGCAATTAAGGTCACTTCATTATTTGGTTATTTAAACATGTTTACTAAGTGATTACTAACATTAAACAATCAAGATCACTTTCTTTATTTATTTAATTATTTAAGCATGCAAAACTAGGTGATAACATAATATTAAACAATTAAGATCACTTAAGTTATTTGTTATTTAATTAAGCATGCAAGACTAAGTGATAACATATTATTAAATATATATATTAAATATGAAATAGTTATAGAAGATGAGCGAGAAGACAAAAATTGCACAATCAATTTTTATTTTTATTAAACTACCCCAAATAATTATAATTATCATAAACATATAAACGGGAGAGAGGAAGGGAGACTCTAAAAAATGACAACTTTACGGATCAGCGCTCGGCTTCTATACAGGGACAGACAAAACAAATGTTTGTCATTTACAGCTCGAGGCAATGTCATCATCTCCATAGGGCCTAAACCACCCCTACCCCACCTTCCGCATGTATTTCGTCTCTAAAAGGTGCCTAGCGTCTCCGCTTAAGGTCCAAGAGGCATTGGACTACTATTAGGGTGGATTTAGACCAAATAAATATATGCTTCTAAATAGGCCCCCTAGACACCAAGTCAAACATATAAGACATTCATTTTACATGTAAATCTCAAGTTGGCCTCTAGATTTTAATTAGACATGCTGGCAAACACAAGTAATTAGTGAAGGTTTCATGCTAAGTGTGTGAGCATACAAAATGATACGAGCATTAAGACAACAACAATGAGTTAAACAGGTAGAATTATTAACCCAGTTCTAAAAGCATGCAAATAATTGTTTAACCAATTTTAGCGGTAGCAGCAAACGATTACATGAAGTGATTTTAGATTTTGATTGATTTTAAAAGGGGCAGCAAATATTATTACAAAGAGGAATAATTATTAGTTTAGTTTTAAAGGAAGACAAACAGAATTCACAACATGTATGTACATTCAAGCACCTCTTGTTTTGAATTCTCTGTTTCATTGCCCCTACCAACATCATAAATAACAGAATAATCATAATAGGGGTTCGGGGGAAGGGAATAAGATTTAGGACAACCATTCCAATGAATATACTGACGACCACATATATGACATAAAAGGACTTTCATCATCTAACCACGATTTATCCCAATCATCCATATCAATAAGAGTATCAAATTATTCAAAGACAAAAATTTGTTGAAAAAAAAAACTAATTAAAAAAAAGCAAAAAAATAAAATAAAAATAAATAAAAAGAAAAATTATAACCTAGAAGAATAGTTAATTTCTAAGTCCCCGGCAGCGGCGCCAAAAACTTGTTGCTCCCAATTGCACACACAAGTGTACGTGGTCGCGCAAGTTAATATAGTGGCTCTTAAAAGAACTAGATTATCGAACCCAAAGGACTTGTCAATTAAATATTTTTTACTAAATTATACTGGTCTAATTATTTATTTAAGAGTGCAAAAAGAAAAGAATACAAGAACAAAATAATAAAATTACTTACAATAGTTGGAAAATTCCAGGACTGCAACATATAATGAATATCATGTATCATATTATTGGCTTAGAACTAATTTCAGTTGTCAAGTTACTGGTTTATAGGGTTGATGATATGATCTGGGTTATACGTCTCTCGTCGCCTAGCCCAGTTAGCTATCTAACTACATCGTTGAGCGGAGATAAATAGACTAACTGGCGAGCATTTATATTTCATCCTATTTCGTAACCAAGCAAGGTGTTCGTCTGGACGTCACTCCTGAACACTAATCACCTCAATCTAATGGGTGGACCGAACTCTCTATATTCTCTGGTCTATCTAACCCCTCCTCTCTCGATTTTAAGATTAGACAATAGATTTATCTCTAGATGGCCAGTCAAGAAATACTAAAACAAGAATATAGAAGTAACTTATAATGACAACCAAGAATTAATTCATAAACCTCAAATAATCAACATTTAATTCGTGGCTACATCCACAGAACAAGGGCTTTTAACCACTAATCTCTAAGAAAACAAGAAGAAGAAAAGAACCCTAAAAAGTATTGATGACTTTTTGCTTGATGCCCTTTGATTGATCTCCTATAATTGTATGCCTCCAATAATTATTTCTATGGACTATTTATAGATGTAGTAAACCCTCAATAAAATAACTGAGTCCAAAAATAAATTGGGAAACCAAAACCTAAACGGAATTGAATTCCGTGTGAACAATGGCTGTCGCCCAGCCGCTTCACTTTAATTTCCTGTGGCTTTCGTTGAGTGCCACGTGGCGGAAGTTACACGTTGCAGATTTGTGCAATTTCACTTGCCCCTTTTATTCCTTATATATTATTATATTCAATTTACTCCTACAAATAAAATACACTATTTAGCACAATTCATAAAATTAATGCTCCAAAAAGGACAAATATAAATAATAAATGTGAGGTAAATATGATTAAAAATATGTATTTTTGGCCTCACATCACCAACTTCCATCTTAATCAGTTAGAGGCATCATAGATAGTCAGTATAGTTGAGAAGTCTGTATTATTCATTTATTTTATTAAATTTTTTAAAAACTTAAGTTGCCCATTTTATGGCGAGTTGAATATTATTTTCATATTCAGAGTTTTTCATTTGAGTTAAAGTTTTGTATTTCATTTTCATGAATTTTTATTTAGTTTTTAAGCTTTTGTATGCTTAAGTTAGTCTTCCGTTTGTAGTCAGCCAAGATGAGGGTTCGCTTGGGAACCAATAATGATTTTCGATTGTTGGCTACATCCAGGGTGTAGTCTCGGATCTTGACAAAAATAAAATATATGCTTCTAAATAGGTCCCCTAGACACCAAGTCAAACATATAAGACTTTCATTTAACATGTAAATTTCAAATTGGCTTCTAGATTTTAATTAAACATGCTGGCAAACACAAGTAATTAGTGAAGGTTTCATGCTAAGTGTGTGAGCATACAAAAACATACGAGTATTAAGACAGCAGCAATGAGTTAAACAGGCAGAATTATTAACCCAGTTCTAAAAGCATGCAAATAATTGTTTTAATCAATTTTAGCGGTGGCAGCAAACTATTACATGAAGAGATTTTTGATTTCGATTGATTTTAAAAGGGGCAGAAAATATTATTACAAAGCGGAATAATTATTAGTTTAGTTTTAAAGGAACACAGACAGAATTCGCAATACAGGGAAGATAGCATTTTAGATAGCTTTAATCAGGACAGATTATTTAAAATAGTGGCATGCTGGAGCAGATCAGATTATGCATAATTTATTTTATTCGGTTATAACATGCTGAAAACAGTTAGATTATTTTAAGTGCAAGAGGATATGTTACAGATGCGGAAATATCAACGGTGAGCAGAAAATATTCCTAGCAGGTTCATTTCAATTATTTAACATGCTGAAAGTTATTAGAGAAATGATTTTAACCAGCCGATTTGATCTAATTAATTAAGTCCTATAGACATGATACCTAAGTGAACATGCTGAAATAATTATCAAACCTATAGGCATTGTAACTATTTCATTTAAACAGATTATTAAACCCTACCGGCATGGTATCTATGAAAATAATATGTAACAAAGTTTTGAAACCTAAATGCATGATTTCTAAACACAAACATGTTGAAAGTTATTCAACCTATAGGCATGCTTTCTAACTTTCACTTATTACAAATAAATTATTTGACAATATTTAATTTATTCAATAGTGATATATAATAAGGATGACCGGAAACAAGCAAGACAAGAAGACGTAAAAGCAATTATTATATTACTATCCTATTATATGCTTGCATGTGATTACACAGACTGAAAATGTATTTGATGTCATTACTGAATATTGAGAATTAGTGGCCAAACATAGAACATGCTTATAACTTAAAAACTTTTAAATATCAGCAAGATCATTTTTTTTATTTTAATTAGATTTAGAGCGAGGAATGATCGAATAATTAAATCACACTCCTATAGGCATGCTCTCTAACAACAAGTAAGTTGCGATAAAATAACATTTAGCACGTAAGTCACCTCCCCCTTTTAAACGATCCCCCAAGTTATATCATATATAGAGCAGAGTTGAGAGTTATACAAATTATTATAAAATAATAATAATAATTAAATTATGTACAAAACACGATTAAATAAATTCAGCTTGACTAGTGTTTTCTTCCCATGGTGACTCTTCAACATCTTGAACCTTTAAGTTCAAAATCCTGCTAAAATAAAAAAGGAGATACCTAACAGATATAATATAAGAAGACAACAAGATAATAATACTAGTTATCAACCAACACACATGACATTAATTATTTCATACTTACGAGCAGGAACAGACACACAAACATATTCCAACTAATCACGCGAGTATAAAGTCACGCATAGAAACAAGGGTAAGAAGACTGACCTGAACGCTTCCTTTATTTATTTCAAACACACAATATTCATAATAGATTATGCAAGACGAAATTTAAAATAATGAAGTAATTACTAACCAATCAAGCAGAAATAATTATCAGCAATGGTGTGTTTTAAAGAGATATCCACCGAAACAACAACACAACAATACCACAAAGAATGATCCCAAGCTTTTCTAGAGTTCTTATTTTCTTTCCAAGAGTAGAGAGTATTCTTTTACTATTAAAGTGTGTAAGCGTGATTTAGCGTTGGAGTATTCAAGCATGAGAGTGTTTTTTGCTATTTCTGATGGTTTTTGCGTGTGTCCTAAAGGGTA